AGGGAAGCATATGTGCCCTGCAAGCACCTGCAGCTCCTGCTGCTGCCAGCCCCTAGCAGCCATCGTGCAACCAGGCAGTCATCTAACGTGCTAAATGAGGGAGCCAGGGAGAAGGGCTCATGGGACCAGGGCCTGTACTCCTGTCACGCTGACCTTCCCTCTGCCTCCCCAGCGCAGCCTAGAAATCAAGAACCGAAGGCAGAGCAACCCAAGACCACAAGAAAATCAGCAGCATTTGGTCCTAGAATGGGATCTGCCCAGGGCGACACTAGGTTCACTGACCAAATGAGTGACAGCATCCACTGCCAAGCGAGAAAAGCAAAAGACCATTTGGCCTTTCTCAGCTATAGATTGCATTTTTGTATTTTTTTTTTCTTATTTAACAATACGACGTAGGGTATGAGACTGAAATACGTCAGTGTGACTAAGTCAAAACTCCTCGTACTAACCCACTCATCTGCAAGCTATTCATGTGAAACAGAACAACTGACTGACTGCTGGCCAGCTGCATCTGCACTGCAGGAACTCTGAATGTGGAGGTGGTGAACAAATTGGACGTTTCCACACAAAATAATAAGGCATAGCAACACTTCAACGCTTTCAGTTAAACTCAACTAATATAACCTTACTATTAGCAAACGCTTCCATTGGTTTATGTAGCAACTTCTTTTGTTCTAGTCTTCTATTTTTATAAATCTTTTCAGCCTCCCTCTTCCTCTCTGGCTCCCTGTTTTACTTATTTTCGATGCAATCATCACCTCTTTCTGAAAACCAGGTTACTGGTTTGCTGAAAGGGCAACACCTTCCCTTAGCAAGGACAAGAGATGTGGTGCCCTTTGAGATTACAGTAACTGGCTGGTATGGCCCAATATATGTGGATCCACAGAATATCAATTATCACGCTAAAATCAACATCCTCCCTAGCAGACAAATATGTATTATAAATATTTGTCACTATGAAAATTTCAATTTCCTATTTCCATAGCTTTCCTCTGGAGTAAGTCCTGTATGCGTTTTAGGTACTTCAGTTACTATGGCCTCCATGCAACATCATCAGAGGCAACATGCAATCACAAAGCTGAAAAACTGAGGACTCTGCAATCAAAGACTTTTAGTTATTTTCCAGAAATGCTTTTTTATTTAAGAAATCTGCTTTATAACTTGTTCTGACAAATGTCACGGCTGGAGAAATTCTTCCTCTAAGGGAAGATTTATAGGATAGTTTTCTTTCTCTGCATTTTTCAGGACACTGGATTCATCAAATACAAACTGCTCTTTGATTTGTGTGTCTGCATGTTCAGCACAAAGAAATGAAATACAAGAACAGGAAAAATGACAATAGTCTTTAACTATAGTAACTTTTTGGCATACAAATATCATCTGGTGTGATCACCTGGAAAGTGCTGAGGTACTAGCACAGAATGATGGGGTAGGAACAGGATTTCCCACAGAGAAAATTATGCTTATTCTGTTCTTCATGCTGGCCACCATGTTGGCAGGCACATCAATACCCCAGCAGATGGTTTTGAGTAGGGACTGCCAAAACACTGTACCCAGAAGGTTGCTCTTCAGGGGAGGATTTCAGCCGAGGAACGTCCGTCTCTTGGGAGGTCAGGGTACCAGCTGAAACGTTGCAGGACGTAGCCCAGAGCAGAAGTAAATGTGAGGATAACCTATTTCAGGACTTGTCATGAGAACATAACTCTTGCTCCTTGGGAGTCTTCTCCAAGGAACCAGCAGCAACCAAAACCTGTGACACAGCTCAGTTTTCCTCTGACTGGGTTAGAGATGCCTAGGTAGCTAATAGGCCCATGACTCAAGGCTCAGATTGGCCAAGGGCCACAATACAGATATTCCGAACTTATACTGGCGAGGACTGAGGCCATTTGCACTTTCAAGTGGAGTTTCCAGAGGATAAGCTTGGCCAGCCTGGGAAGGGCAAATACAACTATGACACCTGAGCAAGAACAGTCAATACGGTCTTGAATACAAGAAAGCCTCTGATTAACATTTGTGCTTAAAGCTAAAGGGTTGATAAAGTTCTTCCCTGAATCAGGACTGAATGCCAAAAATACAGACTTAAGAGAATGATGAGGGGTTGTCAGCTGACTTCACTGGCATATGGTACCACCTTTTGCAAGCTGCTTTTTTATTCATTAATACACTGATAGACCCAGAAAGAAGATGAAGGCTACACTGGAAAACATTTAAACATTCTGATCTCTGGGAATCCGTAGTAACCAGCTGGAACCTCCTTCTGAGATGGACCCGATGCCACAGCTATCCTAACTCTAGGTGCCATATTTTTGTCACCTTTTGCTATTCTGGGTGAAGTATCCTCAAACAGCCCAGCCACCCAACTCAAATTAAGGGCACTCAGCATTTTTAAATCCCCGAATGAAACATGGTCTTTGTGTTTTGCACATGAAAAATACAGCTCCTACCACTCAAGGATGATGCTTCAGGTAATGGCATACTCTGCTCTGAAGTCAGATTGCTGCTGCTGCATTACAGTTAGCCCCATAAGTACATGGAACATTTTAAATCATAAAACTGTACTTTACACAGTAGAGATTAAGTAATTTTGAACAATATGTGTGACAAAGGCATAAAGTATTATTTGTTGACTTACAGTTTTAAAATGCCCTAGATAACATTCAAATGTAATCTGATATTCACAGTCTCTGTGCTCATCTCTTTGGTTAGGCTGAATATCATTATTACTGGTAAACAATATGATTTTTTTTTTGTTTTTAAAGACAGTCTTTACGCAATCTAATTGAAAACAAATCTGTGATGTTTTCATATTTGGTGTGTATTTCTTCTCCCACTTATGAGTGTTCCTGATTCATTCTTTTTTAAAAAAATCAAAATTATAATTTGCTGGTAAAAAAGGCAATTGTAGCACATTTCTGGTGCATACAGTATGTAAGACCAGGTAAATCAGCTATAAATTAGTGTGTTTCACATATAAAAATGCTCTTCATGTTTACATTTTAGGCCACAAACTAGCCTCAAACTGTTCAAAAGTAGGCACTTAACCTGCACTTGGCCAAAAATAATAGCCATCCTTTTCTGGTTACTCAATAACTCCGACAGCACTTCTCTTTGCAGCATGCTTATCAGTCCAAGATGCACAGGTGACGTTGGGTGTTAGCAGCCTGAAGTGGAAACTGCAGACAGCTTCAGGCTTCCTTGCTCTTCCTCACTCCGCTCCTTCCAAGGGAAGGCGCAACACACCCCGTTGAAGACAGCGGCTGGGGGCGGTCCCCCAGAACAAGCCCCAGCAGCTGCCTCCTGTGCTTTCCACACCGCCTGTTGCTCCCTCTGCACCACTCGCACCTCCTCAGGCGGGGAGACCCCCGCCCCCGGGCGCAGCCTCGGGCCCTGACGCTGAGCCCTGCTCCGCGGGCACCAACCGCCAGGAGCTGCTGCTCTGCTCACAGGCTGTGCCACCACAGCCCGCCACGGCCTGGAGCGGGCAGCGCTTCTCCTCAGCCTGAGCCACGGCAACCCCCCAGGGGATTTCAACACCTGGCCACGTGCGCCGATGCAGACCCCGTCCAATCTGTCCCTGAGCCAACAGTATCTGTCCCAGCGGCGCCGGCGGGTTCAACAGGCAGCTAACAGCCGCGTGAAGGCACGCAATTATTTCCCTGAATATCCGGGGTACGGGGGGGGCGGGAGACACTGCATCGCAGCCTGTGGGGTGGGAGTGTAGGGCGGGGGTAGGTCAGCTGGGCACTCCATTTCGTATTCATAGCTGTACGGTGGCGGAGCCGCTGAAATGGGAGAGAAAAGAAGACACAGTTAAAAATCTTTTTTTCAGATGCAGGCCCTCAAGTATTTTCTAGCTGACATTCAGACTTCCATACATCAGAGGTAAAGTTTCCTCTCAGTGTGCTCACATTTTTTTCAGGCTGTCATTATACAGTCACTTTATGCCAGTGCAGGTCCCTGCTTACTGCCCTTCCCTTCATTGCTTCCTTCTGTGCTTACCGACCTGTTGTGGTGGTAGTGGCCATATGGCAGATGATTCCAGGCTGATGTGGCAGAGCTAAACCATTTCAGGGAATGAAGGCTCAGTTTTTACCAGATCCATTCCCTTCCACCCTCTTCAGCAGCAACATGGATTTATGTCATCTCAAAATGCCAGGGTAGCCAGGGCTGTTGCTGATCTCCACAGACCTCTGGAACACCCCCTGCATCCCCAGGAGATGTGTAACATGACATGTTGTGTCAAACACAGCAGCATCACAGCTCCCAGGGCAAAAGCCAGACATCTGCCCAGGATGTTCCCAGGGCTCAGGCTGAAGAAGAACAAAGCTTTTGCCTCACTCACCCTAACGGAGACATCTGAGGAAAGACTAATATTTATAAAATGAAAACTGAAACCAACAAAAATATTCACAAACAGATGAAAACATTTTCTCAACTACTTTTATTAACCTTAGAGAAGAGCATTAATTCAGTGATCAAAAAGACAGGAGATGCTGCAGGATGATAGCATGGTAGGAACTGAAACACTCCATATCAAGACCCCATTAGAGCAGTTTCTACAAATTCTAAGGGCCAAAGTCTGCCCGTGCCACCATGTTACTGCTAAAGTCCAGAGTCTGCTCATATCTGTTTTATGCCACCACAGCTGCTTTCTTATCCCCCCCTCCCACCAGGTGTTTCAAGTAGCGTGGCAGTGAAACAGCCCTTGAATAGAGAGAAAAGAGAAACCTACGATGTCTGTGATGGGGGGAAGAGACTCACACCCCAGTGTGCCATGGAAAGCACTCCCTGCTCTCAGAAAACCCAGCCTTTGCTGTGTCTGAGACTGAAGGAAGGACATCCCCTTGCTTTCTGTTCCTTTCCAAAACAGGTAAAGGCAGGGGGGAGGGTGAGTCACAAACCCCGCAGCCAAAGCCAGGTCAGTCATTACAGCAGAAACGTTCATGGCAGCAGGGAACACAGAAATCATTTCAGAGCTCCCCCATCCTCCCAAAACTGCTGCTGCTGAGAGGAAGAACTGCTTGAACTGATGTTTGCACCAGGAATCAGGAGCGTGCAGAGCAGAACTGCCTGGAGGTGGAGAGACAGGGGTGAGTCATTGCAGGAGCAGACTTGGGGAGGGAAAGGCTACAGCCCCGGAGTCTTCATTTTGCTCTTGTTTTTACAGCTTGCAGTGACTATTAGATTCTGAAGTAGCTCTTCAGCGATTCATGGCTGAGCATATTGCAGTTTTCTTTCATTACTCATCTCTCTATGCAAAACAATGTTGCAATGATAAGGATGATTATACAAGGTTTTAGTTTAACTGGAAAGTAAGAGCATGAGGGAGAAAACAGACACTGAGAGCAGTGAATGTGATAAAGGAACACATAGTAAGTATTGCATAGCTTGCCTATAAGTATATATAATGCACCTGGGGTTTGCTGCAGCCTTTGCAACAGGAGGGAATATAAAGGTGGAGGATCTCTAAGGGTGGGATGTGGGGACTTCATCCATGAAAACAACACTGCCTTTTATCACAGTGAACTCTCAAGCTATCCCAAGGTAATCGCTCCTGGATTTGTCATCAACAATGTCCCTGAAGCAGAGACATAGCTGCATTGCATAAGCACCGTTAGGCTGCTTCCAGGGGCAGCTCTCTCTTCAGCAACATGGCCATGTTCATGTGGTAGGGAGTCCAGACAAATAAGCCTTGCAGATCCCAGTTGGCTTGGTGCAGGTACCTCTTTGGTGCTCCTGTACCCCAGCCTTAGACTGGTGTGAGTTGAGAAGCGTGGTGCAGAGAGCGGCTCCACACAGAGCTAGCTCAGGTGCAGCCTGATGCATCAGCTCCCATCCACTATGGGCACAACTGCACTGGAGGGGGGATCCCTACTGTCCCCTGGGGTGCACCAGAGCCTGTGACAGTTTGTTAGCTCAGTGCCAGATCTGACTAAGGCTCTGTGCCTTCCCTGGTGCTGCCCTCCACCTAAAAAAAGATCACATCAAAACCACGTTAAGCCACAGAGAAGCCTGCACTGAGCACGTCCACCACTCGGCTAACTTTGACCAAGGCACAACGGGCATCTCTGCACCATGCTCCAGGCTCCTGTCAGTTCAGGCACAGTGCCAGTGGATGCAGAGAGCTAGCTTAGATCTAGCACTGCATGCCAGCCAGCAGTTCCTCTTGGGACACACAGCCAGAGAACACTCTGCAAAGACCTCCATGTGCCTTTGTAGAGGTCATCTGGGATCCTGCGGCACCCAGCAGGGTTTGTGAACTCTGGCTGAGTACCAGCCAGCTTGGGCTGCGTTAGACTTCACCCGGCACCACGCGAAGCCTTTGTGCTATGATCTACAGACCTTATTGCCCAAGTTCTCCCTCTCTGCGGTATGCCGGGCCCCCATTATCTGAGACAATGAAAGGGAGCAGACTGCGCGTGAACAAGAGCAAATACAAGAACGAGAACACAAAAGAAGAACAACTGATGCACCGCCAGGGAGCCTCTGGCCCAGGGAGAAGGTCTGTCCTCCGCAGCGCAGCAGCACTGGGCGCCAGGTGCCAGCACGCTCCCGCGGGCACCGCCAATCTGGCAGCTGGCCGCATCTCATCAGCCCACTGAGCAGCTGAAGAAACCCACCCCGTGACCAGCGGGGCTCACGCTGAGCTCCCTGCCTCCCTCAGCAGGGAGCCACGCCGCTCCCCTCCGGGCTGAGGAGAGCCTCCTCCTTCAGGCACATTCCCCACCCAGTGCCCAGCCACAGCTGCCCAAAGACCGTCGCCCAGCAGGAAGGCGGGCGGCCGTGCCGGGCTGACGGGGGCTCCTCACCTGGGTACGTGCTGATGGCGTTGATGTGCGTCGTTCGGATGACCCCCACGCGGGTCCCGCGGGTGCTCTTCATGCACATGCAGATGCAGATGGCAATCCCAGCAATCACCCCCATTATGAACACTATGCCGAAAACAATCCCAGCTATCGCCGTGCCTCTGCGAAGGGAATGGAAACACCTGGTCAGTCCAAGCCAAGTGCTTAGAAAACAAAATTCTTTCCTCAGGAGTGGGCCCCATTTGAGAAAAAAAAAGTGCACATTTGTTACTGAAAACGCTGCAAATTTTGATCCAGCTAGGCACCTGAAGAGAAGAAATGCAAGATCTCCAACACCAAACCAAGAAACTCTTTCAAAGTTGCCTTGGCAATCGTGACGGATCACTCTGCTGATTTACCGTACGTTAAACCATCCCATTCCAGGGCCATTTGAATTTAACAACTTTTAAATATTACCAAGAATAATGGCTTCCCTTTCCCCTCATCACACAGTGCATACTTTTTCCTAAAGCATTGGTATGATTTTCTTTTGAAAAGAAAGAGGTTATCCCCAGTAATATATTCCAGAAGAATCCTGATGCACTTGCATGCTGTGCTTCCACAGGAATGGTTTTGCCATTGTTTTATCTTAGATCAAAGTCTCACTTCTGCTGTGCTTCTGCACCCACAGATTAAGGAGAACCTCTCTTCTTGAGGATGAGCAGCAAGAAGCCAAGCGAATGCCCACTCTTTCACACATCTGCTGCTCCAGCCAGCACAAGTATTTGAGGCTTAAACAATCTCTTTTAAGATGGTCCAGAGGAAAGGATTTAGCTCAGCCCCTTAAGCAATGAATCAGACTTTCCCTGACATTACACAGAGAAAGGAAAGGCAGTCTTATTACGCAGACATATGGGAGAAGAACCTCAGCAAGAGGAACTGAATAGCTCCCAACAATATTGAGGGCAAAATCAGCCTTTCTGATGAACCCGAGTTCACTCAGGTTTGTTCTCAGGCGCAGTGAGGGAAGCATATGTTATATGAAAGATGGTATTTATAGTCTACCCTTTTATGAAAAAAAAAACTACAACAAACCAAACAAGCAGCGACTTGCCAGCAATATTCTTACCCTGTGCATCTCTTCATCTTCCAGCAAAGATTTCAAATAGCAACCTTGCTGGCAACTTTTTTACTGGACATTTTAATCAATCCAAACTGATAGTTTGTCAACATGAATAAGCTCCACTAGGAATTATTGCAATGTAGGGAACAAAACAGGCACTGCAATACTACAAAGGCAAATATTAAAAGGAGTCCAAACCACAGTTTAGCTTCCACATACAAGAGTGGGAACACAAAGCAGGCCTAATTTTCAAAATGTGGATAGCCTATTGGCTTCCAAAAAGTCAGCTAGAGTCGGGATGGACTCAATATTTGAAAAATCAGACTTTCTATTAAGGAACTTAAATATGAATTTAAGAGCTTGGTTTTAGGCCCTAACTATTCATGAACTTGGCCAAAATTTGCAGTACAATTACTAAATTGTATAGGATAAGTAAACACAGACAATTTGCTGTCTTACTAAAATACGCTGCCAGGGAGCTAAATTGCTCTCTACTGTTATGTAGCAATGAATGTAGAGTGTGCAGGGAGGGAAAACCTGTTAACATTTTGCAGAATATACAAAGGCCTAATTTAGAAAACCCTAACTCGTGGCAGCAAGCACCTGGCCATAAAACCAGTAGCTCAAAACACTGACGTGATCAGGCGCTTTGGTATTAACCATCATGAGCAACTGAGAAAAACCTCCTTCATCCCTCCACATCCCTGATATGTTGCATCTAACAAAAAGAAAGTCTGATGCTCTTGGAAGAGGTGACCAAGAGACCTCCATTTTTGCCATCTTGCTCTCTCTGGAAATACTGTCACTACCCTGAGAGAAACTACTGTATGAGAAAATACTTTTGTTCAGGAAACACTTTAACACAACATTATTTTAAATTCAGAAAGTTTTCTTATAATATCACAAACAAAAAAAAAAATGGGCATAATACACAGTATCCCCTTTATAAACAACAGGGCATCTCTATTATTTTTGCTGGGGGCACGGCATCCAAGAGTCACAGGGAATTCTGTTATGCTGAAATAATCCCTTTCCCAGGTGGAAGAAGCAGAACCAGCCACTGCTGACCACCAGCCTCAGGTCCTGCATTGCATTTGTGCTTTGCAACGTGGTCCACTGCTGCCCAGCTCCCATAATCCAGGCACACTCTGCCTGGCTGATCCACTCAAATCCCAGAAACCACAACAGCTTCTTGCACTTCTAACCACCCGCACCAAGGAAAACCCAACCTCCAACCCGAAGGCTGACAGAAGAAAACACAGTGCACACGTTACCTTCCCAGTGCTGAAGTAAAGGTTCTAAATGAATAAAGTCCATTTAAAACTAAATAGAGTTTGTCTCATCTGTCTCCAAAGGCAAAGGTGTCCCATTTGTTCCAGAAGTGGTCAGCCAGATGCCATTAGGTCATCTGCCCTGAGCGACGGGTTGCACCCTCCCCGTGCCAGTGACTGCCGGACTCCCCAGCCTCACACCCAAAGCCCACTCTCCCCTCCTACATCAACAGCAGCTGCCCCAAAGCAGCACTGCTCTGCTAATGTAAATGAGGAGGCTGTGAGACTTTACGTAATAACTATCATGAGGGAAAGGGAAGGGAAGGGAAGGGAAGGGAAGGGAAGGGAAGGGAAGGGAAGGGAAGGGAAGGGAAGGAAAGGAAAGGAAAGGAAAGGAAAGGAAAGGAAAGGAAAGGAAAGGAAAGGAAAGGAAAGGAAAGGAAAGGAAAGGAAAGGAAAGGAAAGGAAAGGAAAGGAAAGGAAAGGAAAGGAAAGGAAAGGAAAGGAAAGGAAAGGAAAGGAAAGGAAAGGAAAGGAAAGGAAAGGAAAGGAAAGGAAAGGAAAGGAAAGGAAAGGAAAGGAAAGGAAAGGAAAGGAAAGGAAAGGAAAGGAAAGGAAAGGAAAGGAAAGGAAAGGAAAGGAAAGGAAAGGTCTGATACCATCTTCAAAAGGAGTTTCCACCTTTCCTGAGATATTAAGCAGACACACACCTGCCACCTTGCTCTGGGTGACAGAGCTGTGATCTGAAGACTCACTTGCAGTCCTATAGCTTTTCCTAGTGACCTTTTGGTGGTGTTGGTTAACAGGTGCTATCTTGCCTCTGCAAAGAAACAGCATCGGGGCAAGACACAAGTGTAGAAAGCCCCCCTGTATCTGCCTGCACCTGAAATTCAAAAAAAGCTGCAGTCCCCTGGCAGAACTTCCAAGCTGGAAAACACCTCTCAGTTTAAACACAACTATAGTCTAAAGCAAAAATCATTTCTACCACGATAGCAAACCCAGGTCAGTAGGCACAGTGAGGAATATCCTCTAAAGGACTCTTTTCCTGGTCCCCACCATAGCTCCTGCTGGCATAGCCATGAACCTGAAACAAAAATGGCCACCAAAAAACACAGTCACCAGCTTAGCTTTGCTGACAAAATTGGTAACTGCAAATTTTGCTCACAGTTCTGAAATCAGGACAAAAAGTGGTTTGAATAGCTATCTCCACCGCTGCTTGTGGATTCAGGTTTTCACACTGCAGTGGTAAATTTAGACCACCTATGGATGGTTACGCAAAGAGAACCCGAGATATGGAACAAAAGATGTAGGTCACTTTTTAAATCCAGTTACAGCCTGACTGAGTACCAGCAGAAAGGCACTCACTGGTGTTGGTGGGCTTCAGATCAGATCCAGTGCCACACACATGAAACTGTTTAAGGAATCAAGTGTCTGAGTTGAAAAGGATCTGTTTGCAAGGACAACAGGAGATGCACTCCCCAATACGTGTAACAGCATCTATACAATGCCACACCACTCTCATGCAGTGAGTCGGTGTAAACCTGCCCTGATTCAGACGCCTGCAGTCCAGGCCACTCACAAAAGCTCCCAGTAAAACTAGGAGCACTCTGCCTCTAAACATCTGGCTGCACCTTCTGAGCACTAAATCCTGGCAGGGTGAAGGTCGTGCAATAGCTGTTTTGGGCACACAGCACAAGAAAAAATGCTGCTTCTTTTTGTGAAAAAGCCTGTGGTATGACTAAAATGTATGAAGAATACTAAGCATGATTTTTTATAACATGGCAGTTTCTCTTTGTGCTACTGGGGAATTTTTAAAAATAAATATAAGTAAATATCCCTTATTTTGTAATAAAAAATGCTTGCTTTGTCTCTCTCTCACTAATATTTTAGACTTCTGTATAGATACACAGAGGGTTACGGTGATTTTTCACACTGTCATCACCGTAGAGCCCTTCAAGGGAAAGTGCCTAAGAGAAAATGGACACTAAAGCAAAAGAAGACATAGAAACCACACAGCAGAGTCACATAGCAACTAGGAAATGTGAAATAAAGGGAAAACTTTGAAATGGAACAATTTGAAGGAAAACATTATGCAAAGTCCTTTACAGAAGCAAAGCAAATGAAGAGAAAAAGACTGCCACAGAAAAACCATGCACAGAAAAGTAAAGATGGAGAGGAGGAAAAGTAATTTTAAAGCTGTGGAAATGTCAAGAGACACTGTCAGGGTAAAAATCAGCTATTCAAAGCAGCTTTCCATCTGCCTTTACCAACATCCTGTTGGAAAGAATATAAATCTCATTCAGAGCCTAACACTTCTGGCCCAACAGAACCCTGTGCAGAAGATCAGGCCTTTTGCTCAATGCACCAAGGCTCTGGCAATGCTGAAGCTCCTGCAGCTGGTATGACTGAGGTGCCAGGGGTGAGAGAACCATCTCCTAGGGGAAGCAGCATCTTGGGTGTTTTACACAAGCAGCAAAGTCATCACCAGAGGTTGCTCCAGCCTGTGATAGCTAGGGTAGAGATGACTGCAGAAAAGAAGAGAGGCTGAAGAGCAGTCCTGCTCCTTCAGGTCTTAACGAGTGGGAATGGAGTTTATTTAGTGCCCCTTCTCCCTCCAGAAGGCTACTACTTTGGGAGCTGGGCAAGCAAAGCAGATAACAAACCTACTCAAGATGCATACTGCCTCTGTGGTGCTCTCCACCTTGGGGACTGTGGATCTTGGAGGCCTAAAAATGTTATAGTTCAATAGGCTAGTGTTCCCTCAAGCAAGAATGATTACTGAACAGGC